ATGATGCTTTTCACTTCTTGCTGCCAATACATACATACACACACACACATGTCACATATATATATATATAATTAGTTGAGGTTATGCGATTGCAGCGGCTACAGCGCTGTCGTCGAGATTTTGCTTTAGCGATCCGGAAGCGTACGCCGGGCACTCCTCTGAGTTTTCGGTGCAACGAAGGACAGAAGCCACTTCAGGAAAGCGGTTTGAATCGGATGTGCCAAACTGAGGACACGTTTGTCTCCTCAACAAATAGTTTCATGCGACAAGAAGAGCCAGGGCCTTGAGCAGTACGTGCATTTGTCAATTGGTGAAATTGCGCTAGCTAAGCCAAGGTCAAGGGTGCAACGGCGGTGGAATCGATGCCGTTTGGAGCTATATCAAGCGCCGTGGATTGTTCCCAGAGCATCTTGGCTTCGAGTTTGTTCTCCGCCTTGGGTGCGAGTTTGAAGCCGCCGTCTCGGTGTCAACCCGGTGAAAGACTCGAACAGGTCATGTGTCCCTTTCGCTGGTGCTGCAGCTGCGAAATGCGAGTCGTCCTGTGACCCTGCAAAAAAGCTGCAAGTCATAGACCATTGCCTTCTGGGCGGCGAGAAGAAGATCAAGTGACCCGGTATGAACATTGTTCCTGCGAGTGTGTGAGACGCGCTTAAGTTATACCCCCCAGAAACTCCCATGTCACTTGAGATCATCTCCAACATCTACAGAATAGTGGGTTTCAAGTGGAAAACAATGAACCTAGAAAACAATGATGACCTAAGACTCATTTTCAGACATCTCCAAGATGGCCACACAATCATGACCTGGGAGTTCGAGAGAAAGTTTGAGAGTGAATAGAGGGCTTTTCCTATGTCACATGCTTTGGTGTCAGCTTTAGTCTTCCAGGTGCACACCCCAAAAAGGAAATGAACCAAATCATGTCTGAGAGGCCTATGTCATGTTGGATTGTTGCTGAATAAGATTTTTACACTTGTGCATGAGATAGCCCTTGGTCTGGATAACTTCTATGTCACCTTCATCTCACCTCACTTTTCCTAAGCTGTTTGACCTCAATATGAATATATATATGTATGTATGTATGTATGTATGTATGTATGTATGTATGTATGTAT